GTAAAGCATTGAAATGGGAGAGATTTGAGCAGGGACAGGGGAAGCAGACAAGCACTGGACACCCAGGGAGCAGCGAGCAAAGGGCAGAATGAGGCGGGAAGACACCCCAGGGAGGCAGTCTACACTGCAGAGTAGACAGTCTACACTGTAGACTACAATCGAAAGCATGTTTTTGATTCACAGGGCTCAAACAGCCAAGCAATCTGATTTTTCTTTTCATAAGTTATATTTTTCAAACAAGCAGGGTAGATTTAAATAGCTAGTATTTATGTGGCCCTTTGAGGTTTACAAAGTGCTTATTTTACAGCTGAAGAAACTAAGACTGAGAGTTGTCTAAGACTGTCCTAGGGCCACACAGCTAAGTAAGTGCCTAAGGCGATCACAGGCTCAGATACTTGAACTCAGGTCTTTCTGAATTCAGACCCAGTGATCTCTCCACTGGGCAGATATGCTGTAGCCATATTACAAAGAGCTTTAAATGGAAAAGGCTTGGTGTCTGAGCCTAGAGGCAAGAGGGAGCCAAGACACTTTTTAAAGGGGACTTGTATACCATGGTCAGAATCTTGCTTTAGGAGGATTTTTGTGATGTTTGTGGTGCAGAGCCCGGTACATCGTTGTTGTTATCAGTTGTTTCAGTCCTGTCTAACTCTTCATGACCCCATTTGGAGTTTTCTTAGCAAGATACTGGGGTGGTTTGCCATTTCCTTCTCCATCTCAATTTACAGATGAGGAAACTGAAGCAAACAGGGTTAAGTGACTTGCCTGGGGTCATACAGCTAGAAAGTGTCTGCATCTGGATTTGAACTCAGGTCTTCCTGACTCCAGGCCTGGCACTCTATCCACTTCACTACTTAGTTACCCTACTTGGTACATAGTAAGTACTTAATAAATACTGGTTTCCTTTCCTGCCGCCCCCCCCCATCAGAAACTGGGAAGTGAAGAAGCTTGGTGGGATTGTGGGGAAAGATTAATTCTATTGAGTTAGAGATGCCCATGAGACAAACAGTTCAAAATATCCAATACGTCAATGGTAATGTGAGATTGGACCTCAGGAGAGACATTAAGGATTGATATATTGATCTGGAAGTCATCTGCAAAGAGATAACTGAGTCCGTGGGAACTGATGAGATCACTGAGGTAGAGATGTTGAAAGAAGGTCCACAACAGAGCCTTGAACATTCACAGTTAGAATGAAAAGCATGAACGATGAGACAAAACAATGCTCTATTGATTAGCACCAGTTTCTCCTGTACATCTTATTTGTTTATAGTTATTTTCATGCTGTCTGTGAGCTCCTTGAAAATAGGAATTGTCTTTTACCTTTCTTTGTATCTCCAGTGCCTAGTACTGTGCCCAGCACATAGTAGGTGCTTAATAAATGCTTGTTGACTGACAGTGGCAAACGTTGTGTGGATCTCCTACGGACCTATCCTTGTTAATGTGACGATCTTAGTGAAACTAAGACATCTTGTGACGAGTGCCAAGTGGAACCCTTTTGGTTAGTGACTTTGAAAACTTCTGTGGTTGTTGCCTCCATTTCACAAGAAGCAAAACAGGGCAAACCTCTTTTGTTCGTGCTATCCACCCAGCTTCCTGTACAGTGTTTCCTGGAAAGAGGCTCTAAAGCATTTCTGAAGCCAGATTTCAGATAGTTCTGAAATCCCATCCTTCCTGAGGGCAGGGGCATGAACTAGATGACCCCTCAAAATCTTTTGTAATACAGTGATCCTAGGCATGAACAGCTTTGGTTTGTCACAAGCCACACTATAGAACTTGGCCCATAATAGTGATGCTACTTCAAATGGGCTAGTTTCAAAATATTATCAATCATTAACTCCTAAAAGGACTCTGTTTTACCTGTAATTAGAGCCGTGAGCATGGTGTCTGTCATTCATTCCTAGTGTCTGAATGAGGCTGTCCCACCAAAGTGATAGATCTTGACAATTGAACTTATTATAACACCACCTCCTGTTTATAATTATCAGTTATCTCTTTTCTGTTTCTTGTGGTGGGGGTCTAGACTTCTGACTTCATTTGTGAAGGGAACTCCAAGTGTGGACACTATCCACCTTGCAGATTTGCAGCTTATCTGCAGCATAGACTGCCAGGGTTCTTAACCAGGGGTCTGTGAATTTAGTTTTTAAAACTACTTTTGGATTTCAATATAATTGGTTTCCTTTATAATACTATAATTTATTTTATGCATTTAAAAGCATTATTCTATGAAGGAAGCCCAGAGGCTTCACTAGATTGCTCAAGGAAGAAAACAAACATTTATTAAGCACCTGCTATATGCCAGGCACTGTACTTAGTGTTTTACAAAGATTTCATTTGATCCTCACAACAGCCATCATAGGAAGGTAATACTATTATTCGGTTAAGTGACTTGTCCAGGATCATACCATTAATAAGTGCCTGAAGCTAGTTTTGAATTCAGGTCTTCCTGACTCCTGGTCTGATGTGATATCCCCTAGGCACTTAGCTGGATCTAAGACTCAAATTAGGTTAAGAACCCTTGTTTTAGAGAGTGACGTGGAGGCACTGAGAAGTTGTCTGACTTGCCTAAGGTCACACAGTTGGTATTATGTCACAGTCAGCACTTGAAGCCAGGTCTTTCTGACCCGTAGGCAAGTCTTCTTAAACATCATGTAATAATGCTCCCAGCACCTGTCCTATCTTGCCTTGGGTTATTCTCCACTCTTTTTATAGGTTAGTACTGTAGCTTTCTACCATTTTGGAATTGAATGGAACCTTATCTTAAGCTATCACAGAGCTAAGACAAGTTTCTTGGTCTCCCCGCAAGTGCTCTGACTTAGTAGGTGGGATAATTTTGCATCATTTATAAAGGATATTTTCCAGGGAAACTCCATTCTAGGGGAATTCCTTCTTTTCATGATCTACAGAGATCCTCAGCTAAAGAAATATTCTAAAATTTGGCCTTTTACTGATGGAGTGAATCGATTTTTTTCTAGCTTTCCCACCAAAATTCTCCTCTGAAGGCCTGCTGTGGCATGGAGAGGATCCTGGCTTCTCCAGGTTTTTGCTAAGGAAGTACAAATTCTGAAAGGTACTAACAAAGCTGACAGGCTTCAAGTATAGGCCCAGAAAACAAAGATCTCCTGAAGTCTGACCACTAGGGTGCTGAATTTTCTGGGCCACAGAAGTTCAATGGAAGCCCTTTTCTGAGGTGTAGACTGGGCTGCAATGTACATGGGGCTACAGAGCAACCATCCCAGTGAAATCACAGATCTTTTATCTACATAGGGCCATGGGATTTAGCATTCATTGTAAGGGAACTCATGGGCCGTGAGTGCAATCCCCTCATTATACAGATGAGAGAGCTGAGGCTCAGAGAGACAAACTGACTTCCCCAAGACCACTAGGACCTCGGTTTCCACATCTGTAAAATGAAGATTGACCTCTAAGGTCTCTTCCAATTCTAAATCTTTGACATTAATGCCAGTTGATCTCTAGCCTCCCTAACTAGTTTGAATTCTATCATCCCGTTTAAACACTTTAAAAGATCTGTGATTTCCTTGGTGTGGATGTTCCTTCATCTGTAAATGAAGAGGGTTGGGTCCAGCTTTAAATCCTATAATCCGGTGCTGGAAGGTGTTATATTATCAATCCACTAGCCTGCATTGACTGGGACCAAAATTCTAAAAGACTTTTTTTGCTTCAGGCCCTGTTCATTTGCAACTTCCTTTTGAAATGAAATTGGGTGCTCAGTGGGTGGAAGCGGTCCTCTGTGGCCAAGAAAAAAAGAGAACCAGGCCCGAAGCCTACATCAAACAACCAAGGACTCGCCCAAAGGGTCTTTTTTCAAACTTCAGGGGGTCAGCTTTTAAAATTCCAGGCTGCCATATGGTTCTCCTCCGGGAAACGTCCTTTTTCCCTTCGGAAGGAGTGCCATTCTTGGAGCCTCTCCTCCCAGGGATCGGGCTTTCGAGGTTTCTAAAATGTTGCCAGAATTGACACCGGGGTGGGGCTGGGGGTGGGTTGCAATGAAACAGTGTCTCAGCTGGCAGGAGTGTGGTTTGGGTCTCGTACACAAGCAGACTCGGTCCTGGAGACGGCCCCCGAGTGCACGTCGGTTGCCCCGGCTGTCAGCCGGCCCGGTGTGTGTGGGGGGATATGTCTTTCATTTTTCGTCCCCGCCGTCCTCGGGCCAGTGCCTGGGCTCTGGGCTGCAGCCGGGTCCGCCGGGCCGCCAAGCAGCAGCGACTCCGCCAGCAGAATTCCCCAGGCATGGAGAGGACTGCCCGGCCTGGCTGGGGGAGGGGGGGACGGTGTGGGGGGAGCTACGTCACCGGGTTCCATTCAGCGCGCGCGAACTCAGCCCGGCAGCGACAATCGCCCGGAGGAGCTAGGGCTGGTGCGATTCGGCGGGGCGGGGGAGCCCAGGGAAGGAGGAGGAGAGGAAAGGGGCGGGGAGAGAGCCGGGAGGGCGCCGCTGATTGGGTCGAGGGAACAGGACGTCACCACGTTCCAAGGCCCGGCCTCATCTCCTAGCTACATTCCCCATCCTTTTTTTTTTTTTGTACTGCGTTTCCTCGAGGGCTCCCCCCGCCTCCTCCTCCCTTTTTTTTCCCTTTCCCTTGCTACCTCCGGGCTCGCGTGCGCGCGCACCGGCCTTTCGCGCTCCGGGAGAGGCGACTGGCGCGCGCACTGCCTTCCCCACCCCAGCCCCAGCCCCTGCCCCTCCCTCCCCTTCTCCCCCGCAGCCCAGCACTGAGGGGATTTGAAAAGCCCGGTCCGCCTGCAGCGCCAGGCTGGCAGCCAATCAGAGGCGCGCACTTTTCCCGCTGCTTCTCTCTCTGCGGCAGCCGCAGGGCGAGGAGCGGGAGGCGGGGTCGGCGCCGGCGCGCGCGGAGCAGCCTCAGCCTCGGCCGGCGAGCCGCTTCTCCCCCCCTCCCGCCCCCCCAACCACCCACCCACCCCCTCGGAGCGCCCGCCGCCTCCGCCGCCGCCGCCAGCCCCCCTCCCTCCTCCCTCCCCCGCCCCCGCCCCGTCCGTCGGTCTGTCGGTGCCGACCCCTGCAGGAGCCGCCGCCGCAGCCGCTCTTCCTCCAGCCGCCCGCCCGGGAGCCTCGGCTCCCCTCCCTCCCGTGGAGCCGCCGCCTCACAGCGAAGCCGCCCCCTCAGAGGATGCGACACGGCACAGGTCATTGAGAGCCCCGCACCCCAGCCCCCAGCCCTCGGCGCCCCCCCTCACATCCCCCTCCCCCCGGGCCTAACCGACTTCCCCAACGGCCGCGGGCCGGGCAACGGCGGGCGCGCGGGGCGGGCGGGCGGAGGGAGGGGGAAGGGGCCAGCGGGCGCGCGGGGGGCTCCCGGCGCTGGGGAGGGGGCCGGGATTTTCTCCTCGGGGCCTGGCAAGGGGCGGGTAGGTAGTGAGGGGTCGGGGGTGGGGGCAGGCGGTGATCCCACCCTCCCCTTTTCCCCTCCTTGCCACCCTTTCTATCCCTCCCTCCCTCTTCTTCCTCCCTTTCTCTCTCCACTCCCCCTTCTCCCTGCTGCCCCCCAAAGCCACCCAAGCTTTCTTCTGGGGGAGGCTGGTTGAGTCCTATCTCACATTGAAATCTTGAGGCTGTAGGTTGTGCCTGTAGTTGCCTCTGCCTCCCCTCCCCCTACACCCCCCACCTCCCACAGGGTTGGGGAAAAGATTGGGGGGAGCAGCTGCAGGCTCCAGCAGCGGCACCCCCACCCCCATCCACTAGCGGGCTGCTTGTGCAAACGCTCCGTGCCGACATCTCTGCGGGCTTGGGGAGGGGGCTTCGATGCTCTCCTCGTCCCCACCCCCAAGAAGCGGAATCGAATTGAGGAGGGGGTGGTTAGGCGGTCGTGGAGAACGGTCACTTCCCCCCTCTTCACAGGGCTGCCCCGAGGAGGGCGCGCACACATGCTGGCGCAAAGGAAAAAAAATCCCTAGGTTAAAAGAAATGATGGGAGTAGGTGATTTTCCATTTTTGCCCCCCAGCAGCACATCCCCAGCCCGCCTAGCCCGCCCTCCCCTAGCGCTTTGTATGACCCTTTCCTTTATTTATTGCTGTAAATGAACTGGTTCCAGGGAGCTCGGGTGCAGCCTTTTTATACTGGAAGAGATTGGGGATGATGATCTGGCAGCAGTCAGGGAAAATGTAATTCTCTAATTCTCGCAGCCTGTATAGAAGAAGGGGGGTGGGGTGGGGAAGCAGCCATGTTAGATCCAGATCCTTTATCCCTACACCAAACGAGGAGATGTTCCTCTACTTAAAGCCTCAATTTCGGTCCAGCTGCACCTGTGTCACTCAGAATCACAAGCCGAAGGGTGTGGGTGACAGAAGGAATCTGTACCTCTTCTAATGTGTATGTGATTTACTCACCTTTATTTCTAACAGTGATACTGGGGGATAGAAAGCTGGAGAGCTCTGCAGGTATAAGAGAGTTATTTCCAAACCCTTCTAGGTAGTTGTTCCTTGGATTGGATGATAACTTGTCCTCCTGCCCTGTGTAAGGAAGCAAGTAAAGAACGGAATTAAATCTTTGTTGAACGAGTATGTATAAAAATTCTTAATGTCTGTTAAAGGAGGAGCAAATTCTAATTCAAAAAATTCACATATACACAACATTTTGCTAGTTCTAATTGAGCCTGCAAGAGAATGAGAGGTTTGTTTCCTGAATCTATTTGGCTTTGCCATTCATGTTCAGTTTTATAGCCATTTGTCGTCTGAAGAGGGAGTTAAGGGTTGCTGCTTCTGCTGAGCATTTTAATTCACAGGAAAAGAAAATAAAGCAGGGTTTTGAGATAGTTCTAGTTTATAGGCCTTGAAATTTTTAGGATGGCTTGTCATATGTAAGTACAAAGTCATATGAGGTGTTGGTTAACATTTTTATCTACTAGCTTCAAAGTATAGTATGAGGCTTTTCCTTTGTCAAACTGAAGTTTGCTTGTACTGCCTAGTTAAAAATTTCTGACCTGTTGGCTATAACTGTTAAATAAATCTGTCATATTTTGTTAGTATTTTGAAAAGTTATCAACGTATCCATTAGTATTTATTTTAAGGGATCTTTTTATCCAATTATAGAAATTGTATTTGGATTCTGCAGAAATTAGAGTACTACTAAATCTAGATAATAAAAAGGTCTTTTCTGTCTATAGTTATATTTGACTGAAGGATTGAGAATAGTCATGCACATATTGTCACAAAAATGTATTAAAACATCAATATTTTGGTATACCATTTTTGTTGAAACAATGTAAAAGGTGAAGTAAATTGTAACTTAGTAATTTAGCATATTGGCATTTTAGACTTTGGGGTCATTGTGCTATAAAAACACAATTTTGGATTTCAAAGTGGACTCTTGGTAGGATGGTACTGTTGTATTCAAACTTGGCTCATTTTATTCAGACAATTAAGATTGGAGTTTACTGCTCAGATAGACAGTGCGTTTGCAGATTGATTTGTAGATGGATTCAGAGGACAGGCAAAGAGAACCACCTCAATATTAACAAGGAATTCTCATGACTTTGTTTAAAATACTGTTAAACAGTAAGCAATATGTATTTCTCTTTCATTGCTTTCCATGACAAAAAAATAAAGCCCTCAGTCTAGAATCAAAGGGGATGACTGTTTATGTATGTTTAAGGTATTTTTTGTTTTTACACAAAATGCATATGCATAATTTAAAATGAGCATAGTGTCCTTTTTCTTAGTATGAAATTTAAAAATTATACCCTTTTTTCATGCAGTGAGAGTAGTTGCAATTTAGATTTGGAAATGAAGAGGATTACCATAGCTTTGAGTCATTTCCTCTTCTTTTCCATTTTGCTATTTGCACAACACATATTTTAGGTTGAGGGTAGCAACAAGAACATTGAAAATTGTGAAATTGTTGCATGGTTTTTATAAGGAGTGTATATTGAATAATAAATCTTCAATAGGATTTTCATGCATCTCTGTAGGATAGTTTGGTATCTAATTATAAGGGTAAACATAAAATGTATGTACTCTTCACTATAAAGGATGTGAAGAAATCCTAGAATGATCTGTAGATGGTCTTCATGCTTGAACTTTGACTTTCATTTTAACTATTGGGAGGAGAATTCCAGCTTTATAAAAGGATATTGGACCAGGGAGAATGAACTAGTTGTTTTTTTTAACTGAAATGCTAACCAAAGGATAAAATTTTTTAGTTGACTAAACTAGATAAGCAAGCATATCTAGTTCACAGAATTGTAAAGTGCCCTTAGAGACCATCTATTCCAATCCATATTCCACAACGATGGTTTCTACTAAATACTTACCTGACAGATGTTCTAGTCTTTGCTTACAGACTTCCAGCAAGGGAGAGCCCACTGCTTCCACTCTTGCCACATTTGAATAGTTGTAATTGTTAGGCCTTCTTTGCTGTCAAGTCTAAATTGCCTCTCTTCACCTTCTCCAGTTATGTAGTTAGTACCTAGTTTTCTAAACCTCAGGGACCAACCAGAACAATTCTGTCCCTGTTAATGTCTCCTGATAAACTACTCTTTTCCAAGCTGAACATACCCATTTGCTTTACCTCACGTGACGAAATCTTGGTCCCCTTCACCATCCTGGTTGTCTTCTGAATATTCTTCTGCCTGTCAACAGACTTTTTAAAATGGAGTCCCAAGAATGGAACATAGTATTTAGCATGTAGTCTAAGGCAGAATAACAGCATGCCTAGTAGTTTATATGACCATATCATTGCTGTTCTGTAAGCTTCATTTACTGCATCTGCAAAACAATACCTTGTGATAGCCCAATTAGATAACGCATGTAACCTGCTTTGTAAGTCTTAAAAGTATTAACAGATATCAGATGTTATTACTATTATTTGTCACTTCCTGTTGATGATTCCTCTTAAGCTTGCAGTCCATTCCCCAGATATTTTAAAGACAAACTATCCATTGTCTTCAGTTATTTCAGTTGTCTGACTCCTCATAACTCCTTTTGAGGGTTTTCTTGGCAAAGATACCGGAGTGGTTTGGCATTTCCCTCTTCAGCTCAAAAATTTTACAGACGAAGAAACTGAGGCAAACAGGCTTAAGTGACTTGCCCAAAGTCATACAGGGCATGTCTAAGGTCAAACTTGAACTTGGGTCTAACTCTAGGCCCTGCACTTTATCCATTGCGCCACCTAGCTGTGAAAGTGTCAGTGCCTTCTCCCATCTTGTAGAGTTATTTTTTTGAACCTGAGTGCATGACTTTGTTTGACCCTGTTATATCTCCCCATACCCAACCTAGCAGATTCTTTCTTTTAATGAGTAGTTAAGCAGAGCCAACCAGGACAGTGAAGTGTAACTTTTAATACCCTTAACAAAGGGAAGTAGGTGACTTCCTTTGTCCCTGCTCCAACACTTAGCACAGTTCACGGCACATAGTAAGCATTTGATAAATGCTTTTTGACTGACTAGCCAAAATTGGCCTTTACAATTATTCAGCATTTGGCTTCATTTTAGATTTTTTCCCCCCTTTTTATATTACTGTCATGTATTGCTCTACTTGCTTTACTCCATCAATTATCTTCCCAGACCTAATTCTTTAGGTCTGACCGTTTAGCTAGTTCTGAAATTGTATTAATGTCTAGCCTTCATTTCTCCATGTTTTCCACAAGAAGAGAAGGGTAAACTGTAAAAAATTTTGCTAAAATATCAGATATCTTTTAAGTTATTAAGGGTTAATGCTGCATGAAGACTTTGGGAAAACATTGTATAACTTAAAGCATTTTCTGATATATCCCTCCAGTAGGTCCAGGGATAGAGACCAGACTTGTGATTTCATTATTACAGGAAGCTCTTAAAAGAGCTGCCTGGAATTTTGGGGAGTTAAGTGGCTGGTCCGAGGTCACACAGTCAATACATAGCAAAGGGGGTCTTGAACTCTCCCTCCACCAGGCTAGTAGTAACTATAATAACTGGCAGAATGGAAACCTGCTCTTGACGAAACTGATGGCTTCTCCAGTCAGCTCTTCTCTAGACATTCATTTACCAGGGTAATTATGTTGTAGCATTTTGTCAGAATTGTTCACCAGTTTCTGGAATGGTTTGGAAACCAAGACCAATAGGAATGGAATGCCATAGTACATTTGGTACTAATAGTTGAAGACCTAGAAGGATAAATAAACTTCTGTAGTAACCAGAGGCTTACTTAGGCAAGT